TCATTAGGCGTTTTCTTTCAGGCACTGATGGTCAGTCATATGCAAATGCACGTCACTTTCCCTTCCTCGGAAAACACTGAACGCTGTTGTTATGTGACGGATGATCAAATGTGGCTGATCACTAATGCTGCAGGTTTAATGGGAGTGAAAAACGGCAATTAGATTAACGGGACAAAAGCAATCTGTTACGCTGTCAATTATTCATGCGGTTCTGGTTGTCTCAAACATCAGCAGTTCGGATGGTAAAGATTGAATTACATTGAGCTCAAAGGCAGAACGTCTCCTGCTTCAGTGGTCACCTGATGGGGTCTGTGACCTATGAAATCACAACCAAACTAACTGGATTATCTGTCAGGATGAGGGCTGAGTTTTATTCTAGCCTTGAATCATCGCCAGCGTTCAGTGGCTCATGTCTCGCACTGACCGTGTGGAAGGGATGTCCGGACGGCCGGATGTGGCCACGGATTCCGGCCCATAAACGAGAGTAACTCGATGTCAGAGGTGGTTAGAGATGGCTATCAATATTTCCTGGTGGAATTGGTTTGGTGCGTAAAGCTGAAACTAGAGCCATTAGTATGTGATCATGAAGTCACTTCGGGAGGTTCTCGGTCAGGAATTCACGGTTGGGTTGAACGTCCCTTCCTCAGAACGGTGACAGATTCAGAAGGATTGCGGATGTGTGTGTGTGTGTGTGTGTGTGGACAGAACGATACTGAAACTGTTTCCTTTGTAAAAAAGAAGTGCACTTAAGCATACTTTTAAAAAAAGTACATATTACAGAAATAATTTGCTTTAAAAGAATATACTTAAGTTATGTAATTGCATGTTATTTACAATTAAATCAAATGTATTATAGTTTAAATTTATATTAAATGCATTTAGCTGAATGTTAGAGTGATTTTTGACCCACTTAATTAGGACATACGTACATCTGGTAAACTTTATAATACAGTTCCATCATTAATGAATAACTACACACAGGACTAGACATCCTTCTGAAGGAATTACTGATTATTTGGATCAGTATCTAAAGTGAAGATCATAGTAACCCACTAGTAATGAGTAAAGTGTTACCAAATTTATCAGGAAGGAATTACTATCCAAAACCTTACAAAAAGCTCACAATAACTTCATTACTAATGAGTTACCATGATCTTCACTTTAGAGTTTATGATACATTATCCGTTATTCACATTAATTATGAACCTGTATGTAGTAGTTCATAGTAGTTCTCTGGGAGGCATGAAAAAACAGTAGTTATTCATTAGCTAATAGTGAACTACTTTCAATAAACTTAGCGCTGTTACTTACTAATCCATTATTCAGGTTCTTGTTAGTTAAAAGTAGTTACTAAAGTGTTAGTAATGTGTTACTCGTTTGTTCCTGTGTAGTTACTCATTATTTGACAGAACAATATTCTAAAGTGTTACTGTGCATCTTTATATGAAATTTCATACCTGTTTTCTATTGAAATATGGTACTGACAGGCTTTTATGGTAAACTAATGTCATTTCTATTGATACCTGTGTGTCATGTATTTAAATATATTTGTAATTACACATTTGGAATGATAAAGTACATTTTGCAATTTAGTACATTTAATCTTTAACATATGTTAACTTTAAATGTAATATTGAATAACACTATAGTTCAAATTAAAATCAAGAGAATAATTGTATATCTTTAGAACATGACATACGATTATTATATCATAATGATTTAAAATGCACTTTAAAGTTAAACCTTTAATTTCGCATTGTTACAAAAGTATGCTTAAGTGTAAGAAACAGTCGTAAACACTCTCTTTAAGTACACTTAAGTATCCTTTTATTTCATGAATGTTATATATCTGACTGTACTTTTATCATTTGAAGTACACTACACTAGTGAAGTACACTAACGTGTCCAGTGAAGCGCTCTAGTTGGTCTCGCTGGTCGGTGTGTGAGGAGTGTGAGCGCTCTAGTTGGTCTCGCTGGTCGGCGTGTGAGGAGTGTGTGCGCTCTAGTTGGTCTCGCTGGTCGGTGTGTGAGGAGTGTGAGCGCTCTAGTTGGTCTCGCTGGTCGGCGTGTGAGGAGTGTGTGCGCTCTAGTTGGTCTCGCTGGTCGGTGTGTGAGGAGTGTGTGCGCTCTAGTTGGTCTCGCTGGTCGGTGTGTCTGGAGTGTGAGCGCTCTAGTTGGTCTCGCTGGTCGGTGTGTGAGGAGTGTGTGCGCTCTAGTTGGTCTCGCTGGTCGGTGTGTGAGGAGTGTGAGCGCTCTAGTTGGTCTCGCTGGTCGGTGTGTGAGGAGTGTGTGCGCTCTAGTTGGTCTCGCTGGTCGGTGTGTGAGGAGTGTGAGCGCTCTAGTTGGTCTCGCTGGTCGGTGTGTCTGGAGTGTGAGCGCTCTAGTTGGTCTCGCTGGTCGGTGTGTGAGGAGTGTGTGCGCTCTAGTTGGTCTCGCTGGTCGGTGTGTGAGGAGTGTGTGCGCTCTAGTTGGTCTCGCTGGTCGGCGTGTGAGGAGTGTGTGCGCTCTAGTTGGTCTCGCTGGTCGGTGTGTGAGGAGTGTGTGCGCTCTAGTTGGTCTCGCTGGTCGGTGTGTGAGGAGTGTGAGTGCTCTAGTTGGTCTCGCTGGTCGGTGTGTGAGGAGTGTGTGCGCTCTAGTTGGTCTCGCTGGTCGGTGTGTGAGGAGTGTGAGCGCTCTAGTTGGTCTCGCTGGTCGGCGTGTGAGGAGTGTGTGCGCTCTAGTTGGTCTCGCTGGTCGGTGTGTGAGGAGTGTGAGCGCTCTAGTTGGTCTCGCTGGTCGGTGTGTGAGGAGTGTGTGCGCTCTAGTTGGTCTCGCTGGTCGGTGTGTGAGGAGTGTGAGCGCTCTAGTTGGTCTCGCTGGTCGGTGTGTGAGGAGTGTGTGCGCTCTAGTTGGTCTCGCTGGTCGGTGTGTGAGGAGTGTGTGCGCTCTAGTTGGTCTCGCTGGTCGGTGTGTGAGGAGTGTGAGTGCTCTAGTTGGTCTCGCTGGTCGGTGTGTGAGGAGTGTGTGCGCTCTAGTTGGTCTCGCTGGTCGGCGTGTGAGGAGTGTGAGCGCTCTAGTTGGTCTCGCTGGTCGGCGTGTGAGGAGTGTGTGCGCTCTAGTTGGTCTCGCTGGTCGGTGTGTGAGGAGTGTGTGCGCTCTAGTTGGTCTCGCTGGTCGGTGTGTCTGGAGTGTGAGCGCTCTAGTTGGTCTCGCTGGTCGGTGTGTGAGGAGTGTGAGTGCTCTAGTTGGTCTCGCTGGTCGGTGTGTGAGGAGTGTGAGCGCTCTAGTTGGTCTCGCTGGTCGGTGTGTGAGGAGTGTGTGCGCTCTAGTTGGTCTCGCTGGTCGGTGTGTGAGGAGTGTGTGCGCTCTAGTTGGTCTCGCTGGTCGGTGTGTGAGGAGTGTGTGCGCTCTAGTTGGTCTCGCTGGTCGGTGTGTGAGGAGTGTGAGCGCTCTAGTTGGTCTCGCTGGTCGGTGTGTGAGGAGTGTGTGCGCTCTAGTTGGTCTCGCTGGTCGGTGTGTGAGGAGTGTGTGGCTCTAGTTGGTCTCGCTGGTCGGTGTGTGAGGAGTGTGAGTGCTCAAGTTGGTCTCGCTGGTCGGTGTGTGAGGAGTGTGAGCGCTCTAGTTGGTCTCGCTGGTCGGTGTGTGAGGAGTGTGTGCGCTCTAGTTGGTCTCGCTGGTCGGTGTGTGAGGAGTGTGAGCGCTCTAGTTGGTCTCGCTGGTCGGTGTGTGAGGAGTGTGAGTGCTCTAGTTGGTCTCGCTGGTCGGTGTGTGAGGAGTGTGAGTGCTCTAGTTGGTCTCGCTGGTCGGTGTGTGAGGAGTGTGAGTGCTCTAGTTGGTCTCGCTGGTCGGTGTGTGAGGAGTGTGTGCGCTCTAGTTGGTCTCGCTGGTCGGTGTGTGAGGAGTGTGAGCGCTCTAGTTGGTCTCGCTGGTCGGTGTGTGAGGAGTGTGAGCGCTCTAGTTGGTCTCGCTGGTCGGTGTGTGAGGAGTGTGAGTGCTCTAGTTGGTCTCGCTGGTCGGTGTGTGAGGAGTGTGTGCGCTCTAGTTGGTCTCGCTGGTCGGTGTGTGAGGAGTGTGTGCGCTCTAGTTGGTCTCGCTGGTCGGTGTGTGAGGAGTGTGAGCGCTCTAGTTGGTCTCGCTGGTCGGTGTGTGAGGAGTGTGAGTGCTCTAGTTGGTCTCGCTGGTCGGTGTGTGAGGAGTGTGAGCGCTCTAGTTGGTCTCGCTGGTCGGTGTGTGAGGAGTGTGTGTGCTCTAGTTGGTCTCGCTGGTCGGTGTGTGAGGAGTGTGTGCGCTCGCCGCTGCACTGAGGATGTGTAGACTCGATGCCAGGCGTGACGTGTGCAGGACACTGCCGTAGAGGTGCTCACTTAAAAATGTTGATGAGCAGAGGTTTTGCAGATGGGAAGTGCGGAGGCAGGCGGTAGAGGTCCAGAGTGCTCGGGGAACACTGTCGACACACCGGAGTCATGCGCTTCCACATATCCAGATATTATCGCAATGTTACAGGTATGGAGGGATACTATTTGATGTTGTCTGACTTACAATTTCATGAAATAGTTTGACAATTACAAGGTTGCCTGAGCTGTTTTCATTTTGAAATTGTCACTTGCTTTAAACTAACTTGTGACGTTGCATGATGGTTTATTGCTACTTTGAAACATTGACACATTGGTGCTCATCTTTTGGTCTGTGTATGCGCGTAATGAAGTAGCTGTTTGGTTGAGAAATATTGCTCTACCTGTGCACTCACTTTCTTTTTTTAGTGAAATGCGATGACCCTGCATTTACTTCAGTCTGATCAATAGCTCGAAATAGCCTGTCTCTTCTAGTATTTAGCAGATGTTTTGTAAAGGTCGTTTGGATCAGACACACTCACGAGCTGCAGCTCCAGTTCAGACGCTTTTAAATTCTTGATCTCAGATTAGCGTTACACCTAAATAAGGTCCTCTGGGGTAACCCTGCTCCTTTCTCAGAGCTCTTATGAGTTGTGTTGTGTTGTTCTGTGCAGCGGGCACCAGCACCACCAGCACCACCAGCACCACTCCCACGGCCAAGACCTCCAGTCACATGACGCCCTGCAGCGAGAGCGAGAGGAAGTTCTGCGTGAACGGAGGGAAATGCTTCACGCTGGAGGTCACACCGGGAAACATCCGACACCTCTGCAGGTACAGCTCACATCCGCACGTGTGTTACTGAGGCATTCAGTCTGCTAGTCACTGTCACTCTACTGATCTTAGATGAGGTTTACTTAATGAATGACCTATTAGCTCAAACAGTGGAGCATTGCATTTGCAACACCAAGGTTTGTTTCTCAAGGAATGTATGGAGTGATACAATGAATATCTTCAATGCAATGTTGGATAAAGTATGAAATGCATGAATGTAAATGTAAAACCATGTTGCAAGCGGAGGTTTTCTGCGTGCATGACACTGACGGCACACTTACTGTCCAATCCAGTGAATAAGCACAAACCGCAGTGCTGATGTCAGGGCTCTGTTCTCATCAGTAAGCACTGCAGTCGACGCCTCTCTCGATGCAGAGGCTCCTCAGGGACTGCAGATCTCTGAGCCATCCAGCAGTGCTCACGTGACCCTTAACCAACTGCTGGAATTAGTGCTAAGTCAAGTATGACTGTACTAGTGCTCATAATAATGTGATCAGACATTGTCAAACTAAGATTAAAGCTGAGTGTGTGCATCATCCTGCAGCATTTGTGCTCCAATTCCTCATGTTGAGGAGATTTTAGAGATCAGATGCACATTGAAGGAGGCATATCATATCAGAAGATCACAGAGGATGGGTTTTTTCATTGGAGACAACCACCCAGTAATCCTTGACTATCACCTAGCAACACCCTGGCAACCACCCACAACACCCCAGCATCAGAGTGACTGTTGGATGTCCGAGCACCATTCACCTTTTCCTCAAGGAATGCGACATATCCAGTTGTTGTAGTAAACGTTTCTCAACACTTTTGATGAATCTGATGCCTGAGGACCGGAATACCAACACAATCTCAAGTTGTGGCAAATCATAACTATTTTACATTTTGGTGGCAAATTAATTTCATTCGTACTGTATGTTTTTGTACGATCTGCTTTATATTATGCCCCAGTGATGGTTATGTTCTGGGGTTTGGGTGGAACTTCATACTCCCTTTTTTCACCTCATATGAATTCATATAAAATAGCCACCTCATAAAATGGTTCTGATTTCCCGTGAGATTGGGTTAGGCATACTCTCAGTAAACATCCCTGCTGAGAGCGACGTTTGGATGAATATGTGCTGCGCGCTTTCCACTCAATAACAAACAGCAGTTCAGAAAGCATCTGATCATAGTGATGTGGATATGTTTGCACCAGCTCTGCAATTCAGCTCTCCAGTCACATCAAGTCTCGTTTATTTATACTGCTTTTTATCCACCTTATTCCTGCGCCCCATGACGCTTTGCGCGAATTATGGGTGTAACTTCCGTTAAGCTGTAAACAATCAGCAAAGGCTCGCTCTATGTACGCAATACGTTAAAAAAGTGTCACAATGAGATGACATTAATCGACTCACCCTTCAACCATCGAACATTAAAATGAAATTTAAAAGTTTAAAATAATCAACAAGGTCGACAGACCAAAAATAGCCCCAAACGCGCGAGTCTTTGGTTAAATATCACTGTAGTAGGCAAATATATTGTATAACAAGCCTTAATCAAAAATGTTCACTAACTTCAGCATTACGTGACACTATATCAAAGTGATTTCCGTCATTTTGACAGATTATAAATTGCATTTACCTGTGAAAACAAACCTGGAAAGAGACGTGAGGATTGAGGAGAATAACGAGAGATTCTTCGTGCATCCAGTGAATTATTATCGTAAATTAAATTCGGGAGAACAGACCACAAATGTGCCGTATATGTTGTACTTTTTTCATACTTTTACAGCGGATTGCAAAGGAAAAAATAAAAATCATCATGAGGAAAAGAAAGCAGCGACTGAAAAGAGCTCTTGCCGTAGATATTCTTGTTATAACATGTCACGTTAAAATACCAAGTATAACATTATTCTCATGATGTCGGAAAATAAATCATGAAGAAAAATTGACAGCTCATCCGGTCAAACTGACGGATCAGCTTTATTTGTAGGGCAAACTTATGATTGGAAATGATTCGTTTTAGCCTTTTTGAATGGAAGTTCCCCAAACCGGAAGTGCCGCCCATAATTCAAAACGCAGTAAGGTCGTCAGGAATAAGGTGGATACAATATATTTCTTTAAAGCAGCAGCTTTACCATTAAAAAAATACAATGTCGCTTTCCATTGTTCATGTTTTCACTCGTGTCTTAATTTGACGGACTGAACGGAAGAAATAAACCGGAGAAGATTTCCACACCAAAGAAGGCGGAGCCTCAGAGCCACACCTACCCATCGCATCATCGCCATGGACCAATGGCAGTTTGAAGATTTTTGCTAGCCGGAAAGTTTAAAATATCACACCAGTTCTTTTTTCCGATTTCACTGGAAGTATATCAGGGCCTGTTGAGAAAGACAGCTGTTAAGCCCCTTCCAGAAGAACAGCTGGAGCTGTGTGTGGGTGTGTGTGGCAGGGGTTTGAGTGCTCTTCATGTCATCAGAGAGCAGTTGGTCAGCTGAAAGATCAAGACTGGAACAATCTCAACCCTGGACCTTTTTTTTCTTCTTTTTTTTACCATAAAATAAGTGATATGATGACGTGACAGCAGAAGTGACCCGGAGGGGAAGCTCATGTTTGTGGAGAGCAGAGAATATTCCCTGTCCTTGACCCGTGCGTGTGTTTGTCTAGTGTTGTAGTGTAATGTTGTGTTGTGATGTGATGTGTTGTGCTGTGTTCATCCTCTTTCTAACCTAGGTGCCTTCCAGGATTCACAGGGAACCGCTGTCATACCAGAGACCCTGTGAGAGTCGTAGACCCCAAACGTATGTGCAGTCAGTGAACGCCCCCTTCACCCCCAAACACACACTCCATCGCCGCTGTTTCTGCGCTGCCTCGCCACCTCCGCCATTTAGAAAGCACTCTTTCTGTCAGGGTTTGCCAGGCCGCCCATCTGTCCCGGCGTCAGATGTGGACAGGTGCGCGATGGGCTGCCAACATTTACCCCAGAGATACTCCCCACTCTTCAGAGACTAGTCATGTCTAAACTGTTAATTGGCTCTTGGAACCCAGGCGGACGTTTGCGAGACATTCAGCGAGCAACACCGGAGACACGCGTGTGTGAGGGGGACTTTTGGGTGTCAAACTCACTTCCTGTCTTCCTCTCTTTCTCTCTGTGACTTCTGTCTTTCCCTCTCAGGTGCCCCAATGAGTTTACTGGTGATCGCTGCCAAAGCTACGTAATGGCCAGCTTCTACAGTACGTCTATTTCCTCTTCCTGTCTGTGCTTGGATTAGAGCATGCTCAATCAGCGCTACCTCCTGTTGCTTTGGTTTTGTGTTCTTGACCAACGGGTAGTCAGATCAGACAGATCAGATCTTTTTTATGTTTTCCATTCCTTCTCTTTGCATGTTTAGCATTTATTAATCTAGTTTTGTTATGTTGGATGCTAGTTAGCTGACAACAGTTAGACAGGGTTGACATCCATCAGTCTGGACACATGTTAGTTAATTAGGGGAGATCGGGTTTGTCCTCATTCACATAATTTTGGACTTTTTCGGGATGAGATGAGTGTATCAAGCTCTGTCTGCAGACAACATCACACCACCTGGCTCAAGAGGTTATGAACTGACTTTACTCTCAGCTCATCAACATGTTTTGTAAGCTAGTCATCATGGATAACTAAGTCCTGTAAACCTGTGCCAGGGGTCACTCTCAAGAAATTGTTTTAAGTGTCATTCTCAGTGTTGATATTGTTAACTAAAACTATTCAAATCTTTTTTGCTAATTAAAAATAAAGCTAAAATAAAATATGAATATTAGATTAAAAAAATTAAATCTAAAGAAAATTTGAAATGTTGCCTTGGCAAGTGCTAAAATTAAAAGTACTAATCCTGGTTCCCTGAGAAGGGGGAACAAGACACTGTGTCTTGAAATGACGCTATGGGAAACGCCATTAGCATGACCGGTGTCTGAAGCATGTGTGAAAAACGTGTTAATTTATTGGCTGACCACAGTCCGTGAAGTCACAAGCGGAGCGCTGTTAAGTATCACAGGGTGCCTGTAATACACGTCATCAACTCTTTTGTCTGAGGCAGGTCCAAGGCATGGCAATGAGGCGCAGTGTCTCGTTCCTCTTCTCAGGAAACCAGGGTTACAGTCGTAACCTGAGACGTTGCTTTTCGAAGTATTGAGTAAACCATGAGTAAAGGCACTCTACCTAAGATCCGTCTTTTCCTTTTAGCACTAGACCATAGTATGTGACAGATAATCTGAGGGAAGCCCCGCAGACGACCTTCCTCTACTTGTTAGCATTGTCAAACCAGGCCACAGTAGAGCACCCATCAGAGGGGAGCGGCATCCGAACTTGAAAACCCGACAGCAGTTAGGGAGGGAGGTAAATGAAGTAGAGAAAATCTAAACGGCCCTACATAACTCCCATCACCTAGCATCAACCCTTAAGGCCATCCAAAAGGGAGATATGTCTCAGACAAGAGAAAAACATAAAAGCCAACCCCAAGGTGGACGCAGAGAAGCTTATGCCCTACATAGCATACCCCAGTACACTAGGGGAGATCAAATCAACCCTGAATAAAATATAGGTACTTCCCCAGGACACACTATAACTAGCGCTTTACTCTAGTGCTAACTATAGCATGCAATAGATAACCAGGAGGGACGCTCACAGGCAGTCTACCTCTACTTGTCATGTTCTTGAACATGGGTCATATTAGAGAGGCCTATAAATCACCCATTCCAAGGTTCAAGACACAACAGTAGTTGGGGAGCGAGGTAAACGAGGTATAGGGAACCTATACTGCCCTTACTCCATTCACCCTTCATCAGCCCTACAGGGGTATCTACCAAACAATACAGCATAGCCGAGCATACAATTCTACTTTAGACATAGGGGAGAATATAGCTGACCCTGGAAAACGATACCTCAGAGAGATGCCAGAGACAATAAACCTCTTCCCACAACCACTGATCAATGCCATTCTCACCTTGGGGGCATGTGAAGGATGTCCTCAGACATGTGCCCATCCTAACACCTAATCTGAAGTATTTTAGCCGGAAAACGTGCCGGCATGCATAAGCCATTAAGCACTGCTTAGCGCACAATATGAAACAAGCAATAGAGAGAGTGGTTTCAGATTTCTGTTTTCCTGTTAACCAAAACCTGCTCCATTTCTGTGCCGATTTGGCAATGGTTGCTTCGAACTCCTCCCTTAGGAGCAGAAGCAGTGCTCTGGACCAGAACTGATAGCAGAACGCAACTCTATTCTGGCGACTCTTAACGTTAGTCCATACACTGTGCCTATCATGCAGGTCCATGATGGCAAATGATAATCTCAGCGTTAGCTGGAAGGGGTGTGAACACAACCATCTGGCAGCACTGCTAATAATAATAATACGTTCTATTTATATAGCACCTTTCCATAGCTCAAAGACACTTTACAATGTAGATAAAATAAGAAAAAGATAACAGCAATAGGGTAGACAATAATAACAGACAATAGTACAAGCAGAGGAGTAGAATATTACAAAACAGTAGATGAGATCAGGAGATAGCTGAGCAGAACACGCTCGTGCAAACGCTAGATCCCTGTCCCTCGGGAGAGAATCAACAAGAACAGAGCTTCTTCATCCAGGGATAACGCAAATGCATTATAATGAGCGCATCTAGTTCCCTCAGGAGTCCAACGTGCTCCGAACGAGTGTTTATCCGCATATACAAACAAGCGACTCCTGAAGACAAAAAAAATTATGTTTATTACAGGCACACTTTTATACTTACGGGTGCTCCGCTTGTGACGTCATTGGCGTTTGTCAGACGTGCTTCAGACACCGGTCAGGCGGATCACAGGTGCAAACTGGCTTAAGACATGCTTTTTTGGGTGTTAAATAATAGCACAAATACCAGAACATTGACTACAGCAAACCTTGGTAAATCATGGTGCATGATTCATTTAGATACTCTCCTCCCATTAATATTGCATCTGAAAGGGAAGCTCCTACAAATGCATATGCAATCAGCTGCAAAAGTAATTGTCCAGACCTTTTCATTCATTTTTCATCTTGACAAATCCTGACAGTAGTTTTTTTTAACGCCATAAGAGCATTAGTAAATCTGAGAATCTTTTCTGAGAATGACTCTTCTTAAACTATTGACGTGACCTACAGTACCACAGAAATAACCACAATTCCCTTAATTAACATGCTTAAAGGGATAGTTCACCCAAAAATGAAAATTATCCCATGATTTACTCCCTCTCAAGCCATCCTAGGTGTACAGTATATGACTCATGATCTTTTTTCTGGCAAATACACATGGAGTTATATTAAAAAATATCAGTGCTCTTTCCAGCTTTATAATGGCAGTGAATGGCGGTCCTGATTTTGAAGTCCAAAAAGGTGCATCCATCCATCATAAAAGTAGTCCATACGGCTCCAGGGGGTTAATAAAGCCCTTCTGAAGCAAAGCCATGGGTTTTTGTAAGAAAAATATCCATATTTAAAACTTTAAAAACTAAAATAACTAGCTTAAAATAACCGTACGCATTAATTTAAGGCACAAGAGTAACCCCTGTTTTAAATATTCATAATTTTCTTACAACCACCCATGGCTTTGCTTCAGAGGACCTTTATTAACCCCTGGAGCCATATGAATTACTTTTATGATGGATGGATGCACTTTTTTGGACTTCAAAATCTCGTACTACATTCATTGCCATTAAAAAGCTGGGAAGAGCCAGGATATTTTTAATATAACTCTGATTGTGTTCGTCTAAAAGAAGAAAGTCATATACACCTAGGATGGTTTGAGGGTGAGTAAATCATGGAGTGATTTTCATTTTTGGGTGAACTATCCCTTTAAGACACACAGAGCCATGTAATAAGAGCTGAGACCCATCAATGATCACTTGCTCAAAAGAGACTTCCGTCTATTATATTGAACTGGGCATCTATATCATACGTTTGGGTGATATTCATTATCATTTCTGCATTTCAGATAGGACAGTGAGCAGACAGAAAAATCTCCATCGATTAACTAAAGTGCTAAAATAGGTACATTTACTGGAAATCTGCAATGACAATCAATTCTCAGCTATTAATAATCTTTGCTAATGTGTCCTTCATAGAATGACCTTCGTCAGTACAGATGCCAGTGGTTTAATCACGACACGCAGGAGAGATCAGGGCTATCAGTTAATGAGCAAATCATTGGGCCTCTAACAACACGTTAGGCCAGCATTACAGTCAAACAATTGATATTATTTTAATTGGTGATTTAACCTTGTAATGACACTCCAATTTTAGTGCCATTTTATGCATTCTGAAATAACAGGATTATATTTCTGCAAACCTGTTCTTAATGTATAGAGGAGAAGGAGATCACATTCTGCCAGTGTTAACCTTTCAAACTGTGACGGGCTCAGGTATCAGTCCAACAACAGCTTCTGACGCCAGGTAGTTTAGGTGACCGAGAGATGCATGTGTTTAACAGCATGTTTAATAACAAGTGCTGGTGTAATCACATGAATTAACCAAGTCTGACTCTGTCTGTAGTGAAATGTGTGGAGGGTCAGTGTATAAAATGGCGTGAGCGCAGTGACGTCTGCATGTGCATGTCCTTGTGTCATAATGATGACCAACCATAAGTGTCTGTATATAGAGATGCACATCACTATATACGTGTGATAAACCATCCATATATCTTTTTTAATGATTTCTAAAAGCATTAAATGATGCATTGTCATGGTGGGTTTAAAGTCAAACAGAATAGGTTTGAATCATTTCTGCTTTCAAATATGTATCTGTGTATGTGTGTAATGTACCATGCTGAGAAGACTGCAGGTATCTGGTGTTTCTGGAGGGGGTTTGAGGTGGACCTGACCTGCGTGTTTGTGTGCAGTCAGTCAGAGTTGACATCACCGCTCAACTGTTTTTTGTTTGTTTGTGTTTTGCTTTCTTTTCATCACCTTGTCTGCCTTGGCAGAACATCTTGGGATTGAATTTATGGGTATGAATCGTTCTTTCCTCCTAGTTTGCAGATTCGTAGGTCTAGAAGCTTGAGCCTGTTTCCTTCAACTTCAGCTGGTTTCCTTTTGCTCATGAAGGGATCAAACAGCCATAACAGATGATTGGAGATTGACATCATTATTCTTTATTATATTAATTTGCTTAGAGCCACTCTGCAGGTTTCTAGGGTTTTAGACAAGAAAGTGGATATCCGCTCCGAAGCATGTGACGTGCGGGGGGGCATTAGCCTGCATGCTAGGAAGGATGTTGTTAATAATTCATCAAGACCTCTGATATCTTCCATTCAAGGCAGATATGAAAAGCTCTCTCTTACACACACACACACACACACACAGAGAGAGAGAGAGAGAGAGACAGCTAAATTTCACACACAGTTCAGCGGTGCAGAAGAGAAGCCGTACTGCAGTAGTTATGCTGTGTTTAGATCCCTTCAGCTTTGCTTTGCCCTCCATTCATGCATCCCTCTATCTTCAGCATGACATCTCATTCCTCACTTTCTCCTTTGTTTTCTCCCCCTTTTCTACTTCTCATCAGTGTTTTATCAATGTCTGTACATAGTGATTGCCGTTGTGTTGTGTGCATCAAGAATGTGTTTGCTGTACTCTAAAAACAACGATTCAAGATAGAAGTTTCTAAATCAAACGAGTGGTAGCGTTTGCTCACAGGCTTCGATACGCTGTGTTGTGACGGGAACCTACAGTATTCTGTGCCTTTAAGACCCCATTAAGAAATGGACAATTTGAAAGCAGATAAAATGGCCCGAAAATATTGATGACATCATCGTGCACTCAGGGGCGTATACAGTTTTGTGTCCAGTCAAAATTGATTAGCTGTGTTTAATTGGGGTTGGTGCTAAAACCGGCAGCAAAGTGTCCCTCCAGGATCAGGATTGGACACCCTGGCCTAATAACACCATGACTAAACAAAAACAAAAAGCTGTGGTTGCCAGAACTGGTAAAGAGTTAGCTACAAGATCCACTAAGATGCATCACATGTAGCTTTTCCACAAGCTGATGTAAATAAAGTCATAGACACAAATACAACACCATCATGCATAACATAACATAAAATCATAATGTACGTAACTGATGAGAATGAAATAAGACAAAATGGCAATGATAACAGTATTTTACTGTAAAATTACATGAAATGTCACAGTTTTTCATGTCATGTAAACTAAAGGCCATTTTTACCAAAGTGGAGGAGCCCGTTTCTATGTCCCACTCAAGCTTCCATCAAATTCAGAAAAATATGCTCGTCAAACATTTCATGGGGTCTTTAGCATGAGATACATTTCCCAGCTTGTGTCAGCAGCCTGTGAGTTTGTGCTGCTACCAGTTCATGACTGTTTATTAAAGCCTTTAGCATTCCATATCTATTGACCATTCGCAAAAACATACATACAAATAGTTACTGAAGGCTTCAATAAATTCAGTCTGTCACTGTTGTGATCTAAACCTCATAATGAAATGAGTGAAGTGCATGAGTGTTGAGTGTTGCAGGCATCCCAGAGGCCTCAGCCCGGCCGGGTTTGCATTTCATGTCATTTGTGACGAAATGATTTTCTGAGCTGACCTTGAATTAGCCTGTCCTGTTGTCCCTCCCCTCAGCAAAACTACATCCTGAGACCAATCAAGCCTGTCTAATTAAAGCATCAGCGCCACTGGAAACATACATGTGTGCCAGCTTATGTTCTTACTTGGAAATCTGTTCAAATAACATTGTTATTATAAAAAAAATTATTCCAAGTAAGAATATGACTGAGATGTGATGTGTGTGTGTGTGTGTGTTCAAGCTTGAAAAGCAGTCTGTCCTCTCTTCCAGAAGCTGAGGAGCTCTATCAGAAACGCGTTTTGACTATAACAGGCATCTGCATCGCTCTTCTAGTTGTTGGCATCATGTGTGTGGTGGCTTACTGCAAAACAAAGTAATTCACTTTTTGAAATGTCTGTTTGTACTAAGTTACTTTGTACAGTTAGTTTGTACTAATGTTTTACTCAAAAACTAAAATGAGCCATATTAATTATTGATAGTCATTGATATCTGATCTCCTAAAGTCTAAGAGCTGTTCTTTTTCCTTTTTTCATTTTTTTGCGCGCGTAGGAAACAGAGGAAAAAGCTGCATGACCGTTTGCGGCAAAGTTTACGACAGCGAAACGCTGCGGCCAAAGGCGCCCAGCCGCCCCAGCCTCCACCCGAAGACCTGCAGCTGGTCAATGTGAGTGTGCTCACTGCATCTACAGCAGCATGAGATGTAACATGATAAACCGGAGGGCGAGATTTTTAAATCCTATTTTGGTTAAAAACACAGCGCCCCCTTTTTTGGGGATTTTAGATTATTCATTCTCAGAAAAAAATATGCATTCACGTTAATGCCGGGAGTAGTTCACTTCAGAATTACAATTTCCTGATAGTTTACTCTCCCCCCACGTCATCCAAGATGTTCATGTCTTTCTTTCTTCAGTCGAAAAGAAATGAAGGTTTTTGAGGAAAACATTCCAGGGTTTTTCTCCATATAGAGACTTCAGTGGAGTCCAACGGTTTCAGTGCAGCTTCAAAGTCTTGACACGATCCAGCCGAGGAATAAGAGTCTGATCTAGACAAACCAGCGGACATTTTATAAAAAAAATACACATTTATATACTTTTGACCACAAATGCTGGTCTTGCACTCGCTGTGATGCGACACACATCGCGTAATCACGTTGAAAGGATTTTAAGATTAGTGGTCAACAAGTATTGTACCAATCGACTAAAAGCTAATTTACAGTAAAGGGGTTTTTTAATATGTGTTTAAACAGTTAAAGTTGTTCGAGTGTGCAGTATCATACACTACAAGAGAAACAGTGATAGACCAATCAACTTTTGTCTGATTTCAGCATTACATGCCGAAAAATCCCGTCCCTCCTCACGTTCATGTGACGGACAGAGAAGCGGAAACATCTCTGTCCACCACCGAGTTCACATCACCAACACATGTGTCCAGCGCCGTCACTCGCTCCTCCAGCCTGAGGTACAGTCCCATACACACACATCACACACACACACACACGAGTACTGGTCAGAAACTGTCCAAATGAAATGTGAGTCAAATCAAGATCAAGTCATATTTATTTGTATAGCGCTTTTCTCAGTACTTATTGTTTCAAAGCAGCTTCGCAGGAAGTTATATTGTTATATTATAGTTATACTTATAACCGGTAGTCATATTGGAGTGTCTTTTAAGTCAAGTCAAGTCAAGTCATCTTCATTTATATAGCGCTTTTAACAATAAATTGTTTCAAAGCAGCTTTACAGAGATAAACATATAATTTAAGGTAACAGATTGTTTTGGCGTTATAGCGGTTCTTGAATAATGTTACTTCCAGCTAAAGTTAACTTTAAGCCTCTACAGAGTGCAACAGCAAAGCTTCCTGACATAAAAGCCCCATTGATTTAGGATTTCACAGACCATCCATTAGCTCCTGAGGTTGTTGACATCTATGCAAGCCACAAGTTAAAGAAGAAGGGACTTTCTGTTCAAGTACCACACTACCCATAACCCTGCACTGAGATCCAGAGAAACTGTTACCAAGCAGGTTTAAAAAATAATAGTAATAATAATAATTGCCAGCTAGTGATAACTATATAACTTTAAACAGTGCCTGTTAAATATCTAGCTAGCTAACTAACTAATGTTAGTTAGTATTTGATGTTGGACATTAAACCTCAGACTGACTTCATTTTGTTAATTATGTTCAATCTGTTACTTTAATTTCCTATTATCACTGTAAAGCTGCTTTGAAACAGTCTATATTGTTAAAAGCGCTATATAAATGAAGGTGACTTGACTTGACTTTTATATATATTGCTTTATGGAATGAGAAAGTTAATTCATTCCCTCATAAGTACAAATTCTACCTTTGTCATTTTTCGATTGTCAAGCATCACAGAACTGGTTAGAACATTTTTAATTCAATGTTTTGTTATGCTATGGCATAGCATATCATTTCATAATTTTCACTGATAAACATTCATCAGAAGACGTGAGTAGATGATGTGTATGATGAGCGTGTTTGCCTTGGATGTCACAGCTGGAGTAATGGGAAAGCAGACAGTGTGGCTTCTGACGCTCACGCAGGCCTGATGAGGTCCTCGCAGGAGACGAGCCGGCATGGGACGCCCGGTCCCAGAGGGCGTCTGAACGCCACCGGAGGCGTCCACCAGCTCAACGAGCACCTGAAGAGCTGCGGAGACGCCCCGGGCTCCTGCAGAGACTCCCCCTACAGCGAGAGGTAGTGTACTGAACCCCTTCAGCCCTGAGTAGAGCTCTGCACGCCAGGCCGGAGAATTCACATCGCCCATGTTTTTCAATCGGCTTCATTTGGGAGAAAGTGAATTGACGGGTCCCTGTGCGGCACTATAAACCCCCATGGCTGTGAAGATTGTTAGATAAACACGCCAAAGCAAACGCGCTACAATGAACGCTTCAATGCAGTGACATTTTTAATTCTCTCCCACTCGCGCTTTATGTGATATTTTCTCCTGCTTCTGCCTGTAACTTCCCCGTTCTGTCGGCTCCTGCCCGTAATGCCCGCAGGTAGAGGTGTGAGCAGATTCTGTCTGGCTTTTATACAATCCTCCCAAACACACGGCGCTTCAGAACTTGCTTTGTTGCATTTGTCACAGCAGGCAAAAGAAAGATGGTTTGCCTGATCCGTACCTGCTAACCGTTTATTAATAACACTAATAACATTAAGTAACTATTGTTTTATCTTTGGATATTTTATATTTTTATATTTTGTAGGAGTCATTTGTTGTGCACACTTCACATCTTCCCTCCCCCACTCAGCAGTTCAGATGCTGTCCCAGTGCAGACCTGTAGGCCTTACACACTCCACACGCTTGTGTTCGTCTCACGCACAGTGCATGTGGCCGAATGTTTGTCACCAAGTCCACTTGTGACTGGGCATTGTCTGGCTGCAGCCTGTTTTTGTTTGTTGTTGTTTTTGTCCATATGAACTTGTGGCGCGTCCATCCGCATACTTTAAAAGGCTTGTGTCTTAACTGTGCACAAAACGGAGCAGAACATGAGGAACTAAGTACACCCAGACCTTGAAGAGAAAGTTCACCCAAAAAGGAAAATTCTTAATTTACTCGAGTTGTTCCAAGCCTGTATGAGTTTCTGTCGTCTGATGAAGAATGTCAGTAATCAGAGAGTTGATGGACCAGTATTTTTTTCCATAGTACATGTAAGTCAATGGGGTCCATTAACTCTCTGATTACTGACATTCTTCAGAATATCTTCTTTTGTGTTCAGCAGAAGACAGGAACTCATACAGGTTTGGAACAACTCGAGGGCGAGTCGCTTCAAGTCTTATAATGTAGCTATCTTTGCTTCAGAAGAGCAGCTGTTACTGAACCACTATACATTATGAGTGGCTTAGCTTGGTACAGTTTCACAGCAGCTTCTCCTACACAATTGCTGTGTCTCATTTCGAAGCCTTATAGGCGGTGGGCCGGACCTCGAAATTAGGAATTTCATACTTACCTCACCGCTGTGTACGCTTTTTTTTTTTACTGAGGTCAAGTATAAGTACAAGTATAAGTATCGTACAAGTACTACAGACATTGTTTCCAACTTTTTGTATGCACATTGGATGCAAAATGTCCTTACAAACTCTTACTTTTTTAAACCGGCAAATAAGCAGGATTACTAATCATAGCGCTAGAAAACCTCCCGTTTCCTTGACAACTAAAGTAAATAATGACCAAAGATAGAGCGGAGCCCAGCCATTCTCGAGAATTAAACTTTGCTTTAATCATTACAAATGTAGTGTATATTAAGATTTTGTACAGACGAACTTGCTCTTGTACAGCAGATTACGATGGGCTAGCCTCAATTTCAAAAACAACCTGACACACTCCCACCGGTACAGCGTGGAGGGAGATTACCTGACTCTGGCCCAGCACCACAGAGAGTCTGAGAGCTGGTGCCAGTGCTAAACCCTTACATGTGTGGGAGGGCAAAAAGCATAAGCTACCATGCACAGAATTGTGTCATTGTATAAACTGTGACAATCTACCATAATTGGCTTAAATAACTCCATGACTACCACTATAAAGTTGATTTGAAATAATTTCTTTGTTTTGGTTTGCACTCTTTTTAGCTGATGATTAGCCTAGCCTAGGTAGCTTGCTGTAACCTGCACATGTCAAAACCCTCCCCCGGGATTCTCCCTTATTTAGACTTATTTCCCGCTGTCTTCCCGTTTAAACATTTTCCCGTAATTATCCTATATTTGAATACTCTTTGCTTAGTATAATCATTGTAGAACAAATCTTACCTTGGCGTTGTCTTGCCGAGATACACCGCTCTCTCCAGGTTGGGTTGTAGACTCATGGCTTCAGAATGACGCCGGTTCAACGGATAACGTGATTGGCCAAATCAATTCAACAAAGTTTTGATTGGATCTCACAGCGGCCAACGTTTGTGATCAGCTAGCGAAATTAAATCTATTTTTATACTTTATTGTGCAACAATTGGCGTTGGAAACAATCGGTTGTGAATTATTCATTCAGCCAAATTTAAAAAATGAGCCCGACAGCTGCTGGGTAACTATCAAATCAAAAACTAAACGAGATTGGCCCACTGTCTATTAGGCCACATACGTCAACTAGGATTCCTCATTTCAGAAAAGTACGCATTACATTCCAAACTCCGAAAAGAAATGACAGTAATTAATAAATGCATCCTCCAGAGGACGAGCCTGTGAAGCGAGACGCAGCGTAGCGTCAGCTGATGGAGAGGCAGTAGTTGTGACATGTGCTGTAAAGCGAGTGTGTGTGTGTGCTCCTCCACAGGTACGTTTCGGCTATAACTTCCCCGGCCCGTGTGTCCCCCGTGGGTCTCCTCTCTCCAGCGACGCCCTCCGAGACGTCGGCTCCTCTCTCCAGCCTGGCGACCCCTGTCCCGTCCAGTCCCTCGGGAGAGGAGGAGCGCCCCCTGCTGTTCCTGCGGGACAAACCCAGCGCACACCAGAGCCAGACGGGCCAGAACCTCCGCCACTCGGCCCACTATAACCACGGGCTGGATCTGCCCAGTCCTGTGCACCCTGAGGAGCAGGAGAGCTCATCACAGCGGTTCACAAGCACAGGTGCCCCGTCCTCCCCGTCCCACAGGACTCAGGCGGCGCCGGAGCCCGAACTCAGCGGCAGTCCCTCAGAGAGCAGCGGCTCCGAGAGCGAGACCGAGGACGAGGACACGCCGTTTCTCGGCTCCCAGAACCCCGTGGTGTCCGGCGGCGGGCTGGTTCTGGACGGGCTGGAGGGCAGCAGAACTAACCCTAACCCTGCGCTGCTCCTCTCGCCCCAACACGACCTGCAGAGCAGACTCACGGCCCGCATGGCCAAACAAGACCTCATCGCTGTGTGAGGCATGCAAAGAAGAAGAAGATCACCACTAAACCTTTATTTTCTATAATTAAGTATTGCGAAAAGAAAAACGTCAACTTTTATTTTAGTGATGTTAGTGAATCAAAGACTTTTATAATGTGTGCAACGTGTTTGTGTCATGGAAAAGAAGTGCCATTCACACGTAGCTGAGGTCACAGTATTTCAATGGCAGAAAAAATATAATCAACGGTGCCTTTTAATTTCAGTTGGGGAAAAGAAGAACTGCATTATGACACTGGGCCATATATTCACGAACACATTCTCTGTGACTGACAGAAAAGAAGAAAAAAAAATCCACCAGCACTCCATGTCTGAATTCTTGCTATCCGATTAAAGTGTGTAAAAGTGCATCATGGTCTTTTCAGTCCTGATCTGGTACGTCTCTCTTATTTAACACGTGATTCAGATCCTCAGCTCCATGACTGAACTGTGTCAGACGAGAGAGACGTCCAGAGCGGCCTGGAGAACCTCATTTACGGTAACTGGACTTTTTATTTACATTGATACTTATTTCTGCATTTTGATTTAAAATATCAATGCGAGGCTGCTGCAAACTGAAAACAAGACAACTCAAAAGCTATAATATTCACAGGAAGCAAATCATGTACGATCGGCTATTAATCAAACATAATCATTACGCTTGTCTTGTATAGCAGACATTAGTTCTGTGAGACTTTAGATTTAATTACTGATTCACGACTGAATATATGGCTCACTTTGTCCATCATGCTCATTGGCTTCTCTAACAATGCATTGTGGGAAAGTTATAGCACCACTTTTATGATACTGACACCGACATTTTTATTCCTATATTTTATTTGATTAGTTATTGTCCAGATCACTTTTTTACATTTGTCCATTGCTATCCTATAGAACGTTACATTATATTCAAAGTGTTCCTTTATGTCTCATCATGTTTGTGTGTATATGTGTGAACATTTAAAGAGCAAATCACCCGTTGTACAGTATTTTGTTATGTTTGCGTCACCAGATTAATACAGTAACTTATGTATTCACAAGGTTTTACTGAAAATAGCCTCTAATAGTCTACTCTATCCAGCTTGCTGAACAGAAGAACTGGTTACACAGACAACACTTTTAACCTAGAGCTCACTATACAGCTTGTGTGAAGGCCTTTTCCCCTACGCTTCCTCGTCCATCAAATGTGGCCCATTTTATTGTATTTATTTTCTTTATTTATTTGTTATTTATTTATTTATTATCTGGGCCTTATGGAATCTAGCATCTATAAATCTATATTTTAATAGCATTGACAATAGGAGATATTTGCAATCTTTGGGTACATCAACAAATCCTTATTTTTAATGTGTTTTTTTCCTCCTCATCACTCCATGATATATTTGTGTGTTGTTTTGCCGTTTAGGCCTAGACTCTGTTATTCAACATTCTGTCATTCAAACTCATTCAGAAAAAGAAAAAAAACAATAAATGTTCACCATGACAAATATCCATGAAACTGATTGTACAATAAAAATGAGCTGAACTGCTTCTGGGACACTTGAAAACAGCCTTTATTCTGTTGCTTCTAACGCAAGCCTTTATGTAACTATTCCCACCGCTTCGAGCGGGTTGATGCTGGATGTGATGCAGATGGCGGCTTTAAAGGTGATCTTTGATCTTCCGTCATCATCGCACATATTTTTGTTTTCAGAAATGGCTGTTCATTTACTTTTTGGATGAAATTAGACGTGTGATCTCTAAACGATCAGTGTTCCAGCATAGCAGATTTTGGCTTATTGGTTGATTGCCAATGAAGATAAAGGAAGAACAGATGCTCTCCACAGAGACAAATAAAGTGTTTCTGAACGCTGCATGAGCGCAGGAGGACAAACACAGGCATGCCCGGCACAACACATGCAAAACAAGCACGGTCAAACATGACCACCAATATGTTCAGTTTCATTTGCTCTTGTGTGAACAACTCTATAAAATGTCTGGCCGCTATGTATGATAGCTTCATGTGTTGGGTCTCCTTATTTTTGCAATGTCTTATTCTCCGAACAAATTGTAAGCTGCTGAAAGCAGGTAAAGTTGTTAGCATTTGATGGCAATCTTAACTCCTAAAGACATTTGAAAGCTGTTCCTCTGCATGGTGGATCTGGTGTCTTCTGTTTTCTGCTCATAGACCTGGATGGCCGAACGCCATGAAGTTTGGATTATACAGGTATCAGTTCTGCTAGTGACAATTTTAGGGGTTTTCTTTAAACTCATTACTTTAAATTTTAATCTCAGAAATTTTGGTCAGATGATGCTGTTCAAAAGTTATTTAAAGTTATTCTGATGTACCAAACTGTGTCACGGTAAGGATGGAAAACAGGAAGCGAAGGAATCTTCACAATGCTTCGGCATATTGACATAAAGTTTGGTACGTGTCGTCACAATACCCTGAGCTTACTGGATTTGGTGACAGCGCCACCTATTGGTAATATGGAGACTAGGAACTGAGCAAAATCATAGTGTTTCCCAACCAGGGCTGTGTCTGAAATCGCCCCTACACCCTTAAACAGGGCATTATTTGAGGGGACAGACATTTGTCTTGGTGTCTGAAACCATAGTGGACAGCATTATCTAGTGCACTCATTCAATCCCACAATGCACCACAATAACGAGTGTACTGATGTACACTCAAAGGCTAGAGAATACCCACAATGCACTGTGAGAGTCGCACACGCAGCTGAATCATCCATCCATCTGTTTTCCAATCCGCTAGTCCAATGTGGGTACAGCGTAATATCATACAGGTACAAACTCCTTTTTACTTGTTTAATTACGCTTTATAAATGCTAGTTTCCGTGACAGAGTTTCATATGATTATTAAACAGCACAAACTATGTAAAAGCAGAAGCTCTTCCGGCACTCATGAATTCACTCAGTCGTTACTATATTAAGACTATATTAGTGGAGTAATGTAGGGACCAGTGAAGGAGGGCGGTTTCAGACACAGTCCAGCGTGCACAAACTCTTCCTATTCCTGAATCCACTCATCAGCTCACTAGCAGCTAGAGACTCCAAGACCAGAAGTATATCCAAAATGTGCCGTGTTGGTGGCTCCAGGAACAGGGCTGGGAAACACAGCCGGAGACGTACATTTCCGTTAGTCTCTAATACTACTATGGCCAGCACTACACTAATGTGCTCGGGCTCACCATCTAAAGGTAGGAACCGTAGTTAGATTTCAATCATGCTCTTTATACATTTAATACTTTCAGTAAGTTTGTTTATGTTGCTGTTTTCACTCACAAGTATGATTAAAATGTCCATACTTCCAAGCAAATGCCTATTAGAGCACAGATAACTGCCCAGCTTACACATTTAGGTTGTATAAACGTTGAGGGAACTGTGTTTTGAAATGTTCCTAAAATGTTCTTGTGGTGATTAGAATGATATTTAAAGGTTACCAGACCATTTCTTAAAACATTCTACTAACTGTATTTTCAGCCAAATGTAACGTTACTTGAACTAAGAATGTTAAAAAGTCCAGTTTTGTAAAATGTTTTAAGAAAGTTTTTCTTGTTTTTTGGAAAATCCTCCAAACATTGCTAACTGATGGCTCAGCCGGGACCCGAACCCGTCAGGTGACGGTGATACCCACTGCTGCCCTGTTTATACTTATGTTTATATGAATTCAAGTGATAAAAATGTAATTTCTTACAGCCACAGTAATGTATTTCAAATTAACATAATTTTTAAGTATCAAAAAATATATTAACATTAAGGGCCCTATTTTAAGGATCTAAGCTCATGGTCTAAAGCGCACTTAGGCCGAGTCCGAATCCACTTTTGCTAGTTTAATGACGGGAAAAATGGCCGGCGCTCCCGGTGCATGATCTAAAAGGGTCGTCCCTATTCTCTTAATGAGTAATGGGTGTGTTTTGTCCCTTTTCTCTTAATAAGTAATGGGTGTGTTTTGGGCAATAAACCAATCAGAGTCTCATCTCCCATTCCCTTTAAAAGCCAGTTGCGGTCGTCTATGGCGGATTTGCTATTTACACGGCGGAATTTGCAAGCGGAAAAACTGAACGCTTCTCTAGCGAGGAAACAGATCTCCTCATGCGCGAGTCTAATCCTTTCATTTTAAATATGTATCTAGTTTGTGTGCTGCTGCACGTCCCTGTGTGTGTAATAAGCAGTGTGTGTGTGTAATAAAGAGTGTGAGTGAGTGCGTGCGCATTGTGTACCCGCCTATAGGCGCACATTACTATCCTGCTCTTTAAATAACAAAAAAAATACTGCACCATTGACTTTAGAGCAGGGTTCAGTTGGTCAACGGCTCAGTCTAGTTCAGTTCCTCAAACTGAAACACTCCACCAATGCGCCTGAACACACACCTGGTTCTCAGACCAGCAGCCCATGGGCCACAGATGGGCGCAAATCCATTTGCTAAATTAAACAATGTGGCGCAGGAGGTGAAAATGATAAGTGCGTCGGGCTGAAACTAGCTAAACACACTTGCGTCGCGCCTGCCGCTGCGTTGCTCCGGGTGTGTGATAGGGCCCTAAAGGTTAAAAATGTGTAAAAGTTTCTAAGTGCATTAAATATTATCATATCATTACAAAAATAACAGATACGACTTTAATTTAAGATTCATATTTTACTGTATACAGTCCAAAACATGAAATCGTAGAGAGCAAAGCTTACATTTTCTAAATATCAAACTAACAACTAGACAGACACACGTCCAATCAAAGTCCTGAATGATTAGTGTAATTCAATCCAATTCAATCCAAATTTATTTGTATAGCGCTTTTCACAATACTTATTGTTTCAAAGCAGCTTTACAGAAAGTGTATTAAAGATTTAATGCATCAGGTTCAATCCCAGCCAACATGCAACGTCCCCGTAACTCTCACTAACGTTCTGTAAATGTTAGGACAAAATGTTCTTAAAACATTTAAAAACATGGATGTTTTGAATGTTCGGAAAACATGCAGAAATAACGTTTTCATAACTTAATGGGAATGTTAGCAAGAACATATTTTTAGCTGGGATGAAGTCAGTGTATTATTCCTGCTTGCCTGTATATTTTATGCTTGCATTCATTGTTTGTTCCTTATTCTGATCAAACAAGTAGTCAATTTTAAAATGTTAAATGAACGTCCAACCAAAAAATATGTTGAACAATATATGAATAATGTTTTTGCGCTAGCGCTTTGAGAAAGACCGAAATAGAACCAATATTCTATTAACTGGAATAAAGTTTGTTCATAACTTTGAGAGAACCTTGCCAG